GGATGGTCACGCCGCAATCCCTTCTCCTCCATTCTCCTCTCGGGATCTTGGGCACGCACACACACGTGCCCGGCGTGAGTTTTAAGCCACCGAGTCCGGGACACGAACCGCGGTCGACTATGTGGGAGTCCAGCGACAGCCATTACGCTAACTGCTGGTTCCCCTGGTTCCAAGCTCTTGATTTGTTAGCAGAAGCCCACCCTCCTGGTTAGGAGGCCCTCGGCAGTATCATTGGTAGATGCGGCCCAGGCTGCTGTCTGGCTCTGCCATTTCCTTTTTATTTTTTTATTTTTTTGCCGTAGGGTGCATGCACTTGCTGGGAAGAGACCTCGAGAGGGAAAGAAATTGCTCCCCAGGGGGGATGTCCATGCCACAATCCCTCTAACTCCAGTCTCTTTTTGAGAGTTTGGGCATGCAAACTTGAAAAAAACGTGTGTTTTTTCAAGCCACCAGGTCTGGGACTCGAACCGCAACAGGCCGTGTGAGATCCAGTACCTTAACCACCACACCACCTGCAGGCCCTGATTTGACTCTTTAGCTCTGCTGTTTCCTCATTTAGCAAGACCCCTAGAGGCAGACCCCGTACCTGCCCAGATGGTGAGACCAGCCAGGAGCAGCAGGGTCACCCCAAGGTCGCACGCAGGTCGTGGCCTTGGTGGTCTTGGTGAAAGGCCCCAGCACCCAGAGAGGCCGAGTGCAGCACACAGTACACAGCACATCCACAGGTGGCTGAGTTGGGCTGGGGAGCGCTGCTGGTCATGGGCACACCGTGTAGAGAGGAGGCCCCGCCCCACCCGTACCGTGTCCAGAAACACCGGGTGGCTGCCCGAGTCCCACTGCCTAGCCCGTGAGCCACGGCTGGGTGCAATCAATGCCTGCAGTGCCCTGACTGCCCGTTCACCCCAGCAACCACTGGGGGCTTCGCCCTGGGAGACAGAGGAGAGAGGTGCAGTGGTGTGGGAGTCCCGTTTAATGCGAACACTCGTGGCCTGGGCAGAGTGGGGTGTGTCCAGGAGCTGGGCAGGCAGGTAGGCGGGTGGGTCCCAAGCCCACAAGTAGGCCCTAGGGGGGACACTGGGTGGGAGGGCTTGCCCAGGCTCGAGTCCCACCACAGGACACAAAGGGCTGTCCTTGAGATGGTGTCCAGCCAGGTGGTGAGTTCCCGGGCTGGAGTCTGTGGCCCAGGGAGGTCTGGGGCCTGGTTGGGGGCTCTAGGAACCTAGGGACTGGCGTCACTGGGGGCCTCCCCGAGCTGCTGCTGGAACTCAAGGCGTGTCTGCCGGTTGGACTCTAGCAGCTCTTGGAGGCGGGCATGGAGGTGGTCGTTCTTCTCCTCCAGGTGGTCCAGGCAGGAGTTGATCTGGTCCAACATGGAGTTGATGGCAGCATATTCTGGGAGGAAGGGGAAAGACAGATCTGTGCTGTGTCTCCTCGGGGCTCAGACACTCTCCCCCTTTCCCACCGTCCACAGCCGGCTTCCAAAGGGTTCCGGGCAAGCCTACTCCTTCCTGAGCCTTAGTGTCGCCATCTAGAAATGGGTGGATGGCAAAAGAGGAAAGGCTCTGAAGAGAGTACCTAGGGCACCATCCTTTCTTCTGGGGCTGGGGAGGCACGGGGCAGGCAGTGTCCTGCCTGGAAGTTCTGCAGGGTGCCAGGTCTCCTCTGCACCTCCTTAGCAGCTGCCCAGGGCCAGCAATCAAGGCCTCTGTCCCCAGGCAGGCCCTCTTCTCCAGCCCTTCCATGACTCGCTCTGTCCTCAGAATAAAGCACCCACTGGATTCCCCCAGGGCTGCTCCCCTCTCTAGCCGCACGCACACCTGCCTCAGGCCCTTTGAACATGCTGTCGCCTCTGCCTGGAATGTGCTGGGTCCTCCTTCAGTCCTCCTTTCCTCCTCTCCTTCTGGATAATCCCACTCATCCTTCAAGTCTCAGTATGGATGAGCCCTTCCATGCCCCAGACTGGATCAGACCTCTGTCCTGAACCCTGCTCACCCCCATGGCCCTCCCCTCAGGACTGACTGCTGTGGTTACTTGTGTGCCCGTCCCCAGCCCCAACTTGGCTACAACGCTCCTTGAGAGGCGAATGAGCTTGTGTTCGCTGCCTTCTCCCTGTGCCCTCACTGTCACACAGTGGGCATCTGTTGATTGAATGAATGAATGAGTGAATGAATGAAGCCACTGACCTCCAGCCTTCCTGCCTCTTATCAGCTGTCCCTGTGACCCAGATTGCCTCAACTGCAACCCTTTAAGGACTGGCTTAAAGTGCCTCCTCCAAGAAGTCTCCCCTGGTGTCCTTTAGAAACCATCACTCCCTCCCCCAGGGCAACTCCTGACCTACCTCTCTCAGCAACATGATGTCCCTTAGGACCCAAGGTCTGGGCCTGTGCCCACTGCGGGACCCAGTTTTGAGCCAGCCTATGACTCAGATACACTCAGCTGCCAGCTTGGGACTAAAGGGGAGGCAGCTGGCAGCGGGA